CGCCTACCGGAGATGACGCTGGCGCTTTTTGACTCCGGGGAGCTATTCGCCCCCCTTGGGGACAACGTTCAGATAGACACTCATGACATATGGGGTGCTAGTGCACGCCCAAGGTAGCTGGTGGCGCCTGCATATCAGGTAGTAAAACAACAAATAGGGATGCATTAACCTTTTCATCAAACGTCGGGTCAGAACAGTCAGTCCATTACATTGGCTGCAAGCCTTTGGAGACAATACCTGGTGAAGGACTCAAGGGGGACGTTCTCACTTTGAAGCTTTGACAGCCGCATAAGATGAAGCGTGAAAATGTGCTTAATCACCGTGACCGAACGAAGAGGACAGAACAATCACAGGGCGGCTGGAATGCCTGGGAGTGGTGGCGTTTAACTGGGACGTGCTAGCGGCCGTCGACCGCAGCACTCGTAGCCACAGATTGGGAAGAGTTGGGATGGGGCCCCATCCCTTTCATGGTTCGGTCGGACGCGTCTGATTTCTTCGGCAATCCGGGTAATGCGAAATATCTTTGAATAGCTCAGAATGCGACTTGAAGTAGATGCTCCGACGGCAGAAAAACCATCGGTCACCCGGCTCACTATAATGAACGTATCGCTTGTTTTGCGCGGAGGTAAACGCGCTGCGAGCTGTGTGGACGCCCTCGTCAGCCCTGTGGTGCGCAGCGGTCTCTTGCGTCGTGTTGGCTGTAACGCGAATCGCTTGTGACACCCTGGCCTAAACTGTGATCTGGAGCAAGCTGTAACACGAATCGCTTGTGACGCCCCGGTCTGCCCTGTGGTGGCTGTGATGGCTCAGAGGCTAAAATGAGTGCATCCCACTAGGAACAGTCAGGGGCGGATCCAGAGCAAAGGAGGAACGGAGCCATGGCCTCCCCCTTGTGCCCCGAAGGGCCCATATGCTTCAAAGCGTCCCACTGCCGGTCGAACAGGTGCAGTTCATTTTACACAAAACGCAACAAAATTGGACGTTTCTGGGCTTCCGGGCGGCAAAGAACGGTGACAAGCGGAAGTGAAGGACCCGCGAGTAGACAATTTCTTTTTTGCTGAATGAGAGGGTGGTGATAGCGGGGTTTTAGGGTCCGTTACACGGTACAGAGGCCCTACGCCGTTTCCGGGATCCCTAAATGTCCACAAACCGGGTCAATCCGATCGTTAAGGAGCCTTCTATGTTGCCCTTGATTTCTCTGCATTTGCTCTTAGTGCCCAACGCAGCTGTTGGAACCCTTTCTGCTAGCGTGCCGGGGCACTATTGTAAATCAGGGGCCTTCCACGGATTCTTTCCATTCACCCGAAAGGCTCCTACGCTGTAGCCGGGGCTCCATATGTTAACTAGCCTCATGTTTGTCATGATTAACTTACCGAAATACTCACGCTATAGTCATGGGCCCTCCACATTAGTTTAGGGTGCTCCCAGTTCTCTGTCACTTGCTTAGAACCCTACGCCCTTGCCAGAGGCTCATATGTTAACCTGCTTGGGCACACTCAGGAATGGAGGGTCCTACACACTTGTCGGGGCCCCATCTGTTAACCTGATAGGACGCACTGGGTTATTCGGTGGCTCTGTGCACTGGGTTTTGGCATTTGAATGTTGGGCCATACGCCCCTGTCGGTGGCCATCTAGTAATCTGCTTGGGTACCCTCGGTCTTCCATAGGCCCTCCCCACTGGGCTTTGGTTACTTCTTATTCGAATGAAGGGCTCTACGCTCTTGTCAGAGGCCGTTTCAAATAACCTGTTCGGGTACACTTGATCATTCGGACGCCATCTACATTGGGTTTTGGGTATTCCTATTTAAGTGGAAGACCCCACGCTCTTGTTGGGGTCTATCTGTTAACCTCCTCGGGTGCATCCGATCGTTTAGGGCCCTTCACACTGCATCGTGGAAATTTATTCGTTTAATGGAGGGCCCTGCGCTCTTGTCAGGGGCTCCTTCTGGTAAACTGCTCGGGCGCACTCGATCATTCCTGAGCCCTCCAGATTGTGTCTTGGGTATTTCTCATTTGAATGGACGGCCCGATGTTCTTGCCGGAGCCTCATCTACTAAGCTGCTCGGGCCAGTGGTGGATCCAGAGGGGGATCACGGATCCATGCCCCCCCCCCTTTGTGCCCCGAGGGTACCCATAGGTTCTGAAGTGGCCCACGACCAGCCAATCGGACGTAGTTTTTTAATGCAAAACACGACACAGTTGGACGTCTTTGAGCCTGCAGGCGATCAAGAACAGTCGCAAGCGAAAGCAAAGAGCCCGTGAGGAGTTCATTCTTCGCTGATTGAGAGGGTGGTGCTTGAGGACGTTTTTAGGCTCATTACGCTGTCCACAGGCGATACGCTGTTGCCAGAGCCCTATATGTTCACATGCGGGATCAATACGATCGTTAAGGAGCCTTCCGCGCTGTCCTTGATCTCTTTGCATGTTCTCGTAGGGCCCTACGCTCCTTGAGGCATTATATGCCAACATGCCTGGGTACTCTAAATCGATCAGGGGCCCTCCATAGATTCTTGTCATTCGCTCGAAAGGCTCCACACCCTTTTGTTTGGACCTCATATGCCGGGGTACACTCAGTTGCTCAGGGGCCTTTCGCACTAGTCTCGGGCTGTTCCCACTTGCTCGGAGGGCCTTGTGGTCTTGTTGTGGGGCACATAAGCCACCCCATGCTCAGGAGCCCTGTACCTTGATCTGAAGTTCTTTCCCTTTGATCTCGTTTGTGGAGGACCCATTCACTCCTATTGGAGCCCTTTCTGTTAACCTGCCCGGGCACTCGGAATCGCACAGAGGCATTAATTAAATCACGCACACTGGTCTTGGACAAATGCCCTTTGCTCAGAAGGCCTTGTGCTCTGGCCGGCATCCTATATGTCAGCCTACCGGGGCGCTCTCGATCGTTTAAGAGCCCATCACGTTGGTCTTGGGTTCCTCACACTTGCTCCCATACTACTGACGGAAGCCTCTTTGTTGGCCTGCGGCGGCACCCATGATCGCTCAGGTTCCGTTGCTATTGGCCCTGGTGCCTTAGCCTTAAAGCAGCAGTCAGATATGCGCCGATGAATTTTTACTCGAATTTTAAAGCATAATGTTGCGTTCCGCCGATGTCGTATGTGTCGTTTTCGTTAGTTATTTAATTTAGATACTCGTGCATCACGTCCTTAACAAGCGTTCGGGTAGGGGGTCAAAGTGACCACCCCCGAAGGTTTTTCCGAAATGGTTTCCGAACGGTGCGGCGTAGCCGCGCCAAATTTTGCATAGCTGTAGACAAATGAATAGTGGATCGTTTGATAAACATTTTAGATGTACCATTTGGGTCGCTGACCTATGGCAGGTCAAATTCCGGCCATGGCTTCGGCGAAGGCAATTTCTAGAGAACCGTCCAATCTGATGCAACAACGGGGTGTTTGACGAGGCCATACATCGCTGAGATGCTTTCTTGGCCTAACAAAGTTTTGAATGAGCAAATTACGTTCACTTAGGTCAGGTATGAAGATCTGGCCAAGGTCAAAACCAACCTGTTGTATTACTCTAGGGCTGGCTGTATGGGATAGTTTCTGGTGCTCATTTCGAATTTATGGATGGCGTGGACTGCCTTATATATCTTTCATTGACTTGTAAGAGGGCAGAATAGGTCATTGGCCTAAGATGACCCAGGTCGACATTTGTTTTTAGGAGCATACTGCCTAGCGTAATCTTTGTCGCTTATTGAAATGCAAAACTCAGAGCAGTCTTGTATGATTTTGTCACCATGATCTTCAAATGGTCAAATAAGGTCACTTACATCAAACGAGTTTGTGACCTTTTGCTCAGAAACAATTGCCTAGGTTCTGGGGGCTCTTTGGAAACCAACCTAGAATTTGACATTGTTTGACCTTATCTGACCTGAAGGTCATGACCTAGGAATATCAAACTTTGACCTAAATAAGTTCACGTACAGGTCAACGCACCCTGCGAATTATGTGCCTCTAGCGTTCTTAGTTCCTGAGATTTCAGGGGGGGGGAGTCAAATTGACCTCCCCCACCCGAGCGAAGGGTGTCTAGCCGGCCACCCGGGCGCGTGTTAATGCATTTGAAATGCTAGGATATTTTGTTCTCCTTCCTAGAAAACAGGTTGAACATCCTATATTAGTCATCATATCAACCAGCCGGTTAGCTGTGGATTGGCTAGGAATCAAGTTAACGGTCGTTGCTAATGGCACTTGGCAGCCAAATTTAGTTCATGTTGCCATGCTTTTTCCGAAAAACGCAGCCTTTTAATGACAGAATTCATCATGATCTGGAGAGAACGGATAGTCTCCGTGTGTGTGCGTACGTAAAACGTCTCGCTTTTTAATGTTGCGCGCAGTTAGATGGATTTCCGTATACAAATAACAGGCCAGTGGTCTTAATATTTAACGGCAGGAATGCGATGATTTTTTTGGACGGCTTTTAACTCTAGGGGGCCCCACAATGTAACATGCCCCCCCTCGACGAAGTCCTGGATCCGTCCCTGGAAACAATGGCGCGGTGTCAATGCATGACTGCAGAATAACGCAGTAGATGACGGCTCATTGCCACAGGATGTGCCGCCGCCAGTCCATGTCGGCCGACGGAGCCACTTGGCCTGCGTCTTCACACTCTACGATCAGCAGGAGTACAGCCCACTCAGAGGGCGGGCCCAAACCCCGGCCTCCCCCGGAAGGCGCTCTCCTAGTGTCGGCACATAGGCTTGCAAACAAGTACACCACAAGGCCCCGTCGTCCTCATGAGGAACCCCAGTGGCGTTGGTAGATCAAGAATGTAGACCAGTAGATCAAAGATGCACCAACTGCTTGTACATTCTTGATCTATGGCAGGCGCGCTTAAGCCATAGTTGCCGTTCACGCCAGGAAAAGGAAAAGCACGACTGGCAGGAAAAGCAACAAGGACAACCAAAAAATACTGTCGCGTGCGATATGTTTTAGAATGAAACAAGGGCTCCAAGAACCTGCTTTGTGCAACTTAGCAACGCTGTTGTGTTTCAGACTATAATGCGGGAACGAATGCGCCTGAGAGCGGAGACAATGCGGCAGACCTGTGAGGGCAAGCCGCTCTACAGGGCGCCCGCCATCTCCGACAACATCTTCTACGACAAGTGAGCACACGGTCTCCGCCGCTCACCAAATGCTGCGGGGACACCTGTTTTGATCCATTATCTGCATTACAACGTCCGGAGATTCCATGCAAAATCCTACGAAGTGGTTTTGTTCAGTTCCCCTCTTCCCAACGCTGCAGTGGAGACTGCGGATGATAAAGATTAGCGATCTCCTTGATCACAGCTTGTAACAGCTCATAGGCGCTGAGAACCCCAAATTCGTGGCAATCGAATCGTTTCAGTCAACGTCTATAACGCCTTATAGGCATTGACAGCTTCTTGACCGCGTCACGAATAAAGGGTGTTTTCGCACCACACCAAGAATGTTCTATTCTACGTGGCGTCACGACGTGTTTGCAGCGTGACAGATTTTCTCTCTACATGTGCATTATTTCTGTAATAGTAACCACGCACGCGAGACAAAAGCATGTTCGTTGGCACGCATTACGTATGCGCACAACAACGTGCACTAAAATTTATCTAATTTATGATGCATGTTACAACTTTTCGTTGCCCGTCATTTGTCGTGGGAGCACAAACTGACTTGTCTATGGATGAAACTCTTGGACCCTTGCCGTCTGACTTCAATTGGAGAAAAAAGATTCCGTGTATCAGCCGAAAATCCAATGTAACGTCACGTACAAACGTTGTCCTAGTGGTCGCGAACATCAAGGGGCGCATACCCAATGGGGTATGACGTCATGAGTGACATGGACTCTGACTGATGTGACTAATGACGTCGACGAAGCATGCTTGATTCTTGAGATGACAGGAGGGGACAATAAAGTACTAGTTTGACCCATTTGACCTGGTTCGATCTGTCAAACGTCGCAGTCATCATTGTTCGAAACAGGGGCGGATCCAGGATTTCATCAAGGAAGGGGAAGGGCAAGCGAGATTGTGAGGCCCCCTGCAGTATGAGTCCCCCTCCAAAAAATACTCTTGCTTTTCGATCATTACATTTTAAGACAATTCGTATGTGTTGTATATATATACGTAAATATATATAAGTGTATGCATATGTATGTATTTAGTTATTCTTTTTTTAAATACGAAAACTTATTTTACTGTGCACAACCCAATAAGGCTAGGCATGCTACGCATTCATACACATAGACCTCACTCATTTTCTACAGATCATGTTAAATACTGTGATTTTGAGTCTACGTGTTTCGGAACAACAAGCAAAATGAACTTGAGTTTGCTGCTAACAACCATCAAAACTAAGCATAAACTTGATTCCTAGCTTACGTATTTACAGCCGGCTGGGCGATGTAATCAGCTGATAACTGGTGACTATTGCATAAGTTTTCCTTTCACATCAAGGAGTATGCCATATTCCAGCATTCAGAGTATGTTAAGAATGTGATGCACTAGTATAATAAGTGTTCCACGCCCAATAGCCAATGAAAATGACCCATAGCACGTCGGCGCTATGTCAAATTACGTTCGGCAAAAACGCGTAAAAATTCACCGGCGTATATTCGACTACTGTTCTAAGGCGACGGTACCATTGGCAATTGGGGCGAGACCTGAGCAGATACAGAATACGGATCAGATACAGACCGTACAGAACAGATAGGGCCCCCGAAAAGAGTGGAAGGCCCTCACTTCAAAAAGGAAGTACCCAAAACCAGATGTAGAGGTCCTCACGATGGAATGGGCCCGAGCATCTTATCAAAAGGGCCTCCGAGAGGAGCGTAGGACCCTCCATTCAAATAAAGAGTGCTCAAAACCCGGTGCAAAGGGCCCCCGAAAGATAGTGTGTAGCCCAACAGGTTATCAGATGACCGCGATAGGAGCAGAGGGCCCCAAATTCAAACATCAAGAACCAATGTGCAGGGCCCCCGAGTTATCCAGTGTGGCCGAGGAGGCGAAAAGAGGGGGCCCGCGACAAGTGCGTGGGGCCCCCTTCAAATAGCACGTGCGTAAGGCCCGATACGGAGGGCCCCCAAACGATCGAATGTGCCCGAGCAGGTTATCAGGTAGGCCTCCCACAAAAGCGCTGCCCCGCCCCTCCCCCCCCCCCCCCCCCATTAAGGGAAGTAGTACCCAAGACCCAGTGTGGAGGGTCCCCGAACGGCTGAGTGTACGCAATCAGGCCATCAGATGGGCCCTCGACAAGAGCGTAGGGCCCTAAGCAAATGACAGAGGACTGGAAACATCCTAGACCAATATACAGGGCCCATGTGCATATCGCAAGCGTGTCGGTAGGTCAACCGAGACCCACGTAAAAGGCCCCTGAGCAGCCGAGAATACCCCGGCAGGTTAAGATATGGTGCCCCAGCTATAGCTCACAGAGCCTTTCTGGCGAATAGAAAGAATCCGTGGAAGGGCCCGTGATTGACAAGAGTGTCCCGGCACGCTAACATGAAAAGCCCCAACAACAGCGCAGGGCCCTCTGAGCAAATGAAAAGAAATTAAGAGCAACGTGAAATGCTCCTTAACGATAGAAATTATCCTGAAAGTGAGAATATACGTCCCCGGAAACAGCATGGGTCCCCTAGATAGTGTAATGGAGCTTAAAATTTCCAGTTCACAAGTTTTCCAATCATTGAATAATTGTTGGATCTCTCATAGGCCCTTCACTTTTGTTTACGACTGTTTTTGGTCGCCTGGAAGTCCAGAGATACCCAGTTTTGCTGCGTTTTGTGTTAAAAAAAACACCACCTGTCCGGCCACCTGTGGGCCCCCTCGGAGCCAATGGGCCCCTTCGGGACCCATTGGCTCCGGGCGCCGCCTGTCGGCCGTTCGCGAGCTGAGGCCGGCTGCTGCCGAGCCGAAACCGGCGAGGTCCCACGAGGCGGCCGAACGCGTGACGCGGCAGCCCACAAAGCAGGCGTCACGGACCGCCCCGGCGGCCGACCGCCGTCTGCCGGTGCTGTCATCTCGGATCAGATAGCTGTCGTGGCACCTCCGCCGCCAATGGGCGCCGGAAATCCGTACGCCACCTGTGAGTTGGTGGTGGAACTATTGGTCCGCGCGGATGCCGTTAGGGGAGGGGCCCGTTTCTGTCCGCTGGCGACGCTGTCGTTCCGTTGAGAGACGGCGGGCTCGAGTTGCCGTTAAGCTTTAACGGCACTTGTCGGCTTCCGCTAGGAGGGGGGGAGGGGCAGGGGGAGGCCCTGCTGCTCGTAGTGGTGCTCGTCAACCCGGTGTCGTATAGGCGGTATCTCGTGCGTGGTGCTCTCCGTGGAGCCAGCCACGGCCTCCTTGGTGGGACGTGCCATGTTGACCTCGGCTGAGCGTCCAATGTTTCCGGCGGTAGAGCATGCCATGTTGGCTTTCGCCAAGGGTTTCAATCAAGGCAAGGAAATTAGGACGCCGTGTAGTTTTGTCACATGCCGCTGGCGGCTGGCCCACACCAGTGTTTCGGTGTGTTGCATACAGCGTACCAGCATGCACTTACGCACATACTAATGGGCGTTTCCGTGGCGCCAGCGGACATGTCGCACCCTGTGTTCGCAAGCGTAAAAACTTGGAGGTGTTTACTTTTGTCAGATAATTGCCATGTCTGAAACAACAACAAGCAAACGTTTTATTTAGGTTTTCAGCCTGGCTTGGACTACGGTACGGTGCAGCTGAAACACGGTGATTTTGAGTCACTACATTCGGCTGTTTCGAAAGGTTCAAGATAGTGAGTAAGCTGACGTGAGCATCTCGCTGGATATCTCAATTTTGTCCGGCCTTGTGCAATACCTCCGCCCGAGGTGATGCGGTCATGGGAACGAGGGCCAGGTACATGTGCGGTGGCATCGCAGTTTGTCTTTGGCTATGATGACCTTGGCTCTGGTTGATATTTGATCGCTCTTGCTCTCGCTGAGGTCACAATAGGTCATGAAAGGGCATGCAAGGCCACATGAGATCATCAAGGCCAATGATCTATGCTGCCAATAGCAGAGCAACTAGATCAACGAGTGTGACACGTTTAACCAGCACTTGATCGTGTTTGTCGAACTGATTTCGTATAATTTTATGTCACAATGTGTCTGCCCACAGTTTGTTACAAATACATTTCCAAGCGTCCAGGGGGCAACTGCAGACAACAACTATGCGATATTAAGTACCTGTAGATGCACAATACACTATTTCTGACCACAGAAGAGCATTGCACTGGTAACATGGACCCGGTTAGCACTTTATTTTTCATTTGGATGATTTATAAGTTCGACCTGAGTTGGCCTTAGATCACCTCAATGTCAGCCTAAACTGTTATGTGTGTGTCTTGAATGCTTGTGTCGTACAGCTGCACCTAATGAACTAGACTTAATCAGCAGCGCATTTTGAAGAGTCTCATTCTTACAGGCTACTGGCAGGCCAACTTTGAATGGTGACCCGATCTGACCTGACCATTTAAGGGGAACAGAAATGGTGGGAATGGACTCCCACAGTCTTAACGCTTCTTTTCGTGCCCTGAATATCCGTCCTGGCGTGATAACGTGTGTCTATCGGAAAGACCTTTCTTGGTCTTTCGCAATATCTGGTGATGCAACAGTTGGCTTAGGGTCAAAACCTTTGTGCGCAATTTTTTTTTTTTTGGTTTGACGAGACCTTTGCAACGGTATTTTTGTTTTTTCTCATATGGCATCTGAAGGTTGCAGATCCCGGGAGAGGTATAATACCTCCGGCCGAGTGCAGGTTTAAGGGAATATTCCACATTTGAAGAAATTGAAGAAAACATCGGATGTGATGAAACAAGTTCACTTATAATTGTAAGTGTGCTCTTTAGCGCTGAAGACTGCTCTAGCCACACCATTTCTCTATTGAATAAATATGCTCCTCAATACGTCACCATTTGTCTATGTCATCGCACCTAGCACAACATTGCTTGAGAGCCACTTGATGGCCATTATATCTGGAAAACATGCTCATGAACGCCAGATATGAACGGCTTGACAAGAACATTTGCATTGGCTTTGATCGTCGCCTGGTCAATGGAATGACAGGAGTCAAATGACGTTATTATGGCGCCATGGGTGACCTTATGACGTCATGAGGGGTTTAGGTGGCCTTGAAAAGTCTGCACGAAATAGTCTGCACATCTTCGCGGGCGTCTACCTTAGTAACTAAAGAGGTTTAGATCATAAGAAGACAGGGCTGTAAACTCCACCAAATTATCTTTAAGAGTGCTGTTTGAGTAAAAAAAACGATCAATTGTGGAGCACTCACTTTAACGCGCCCGCCGTGATGGCATTATATGCAGGGACATAAAAGGGGTGGTAAGACAATGGTATGGGAAAGAAACGGAATAGAGGCTGAATAAGACAGAGCTATTGATTATAAAAACATCTGGACGCGCCGGCCTGTCACTGCAATACAATAGCATATATACCTGCATCCACGTCCCGTGATTTTACCATAATATGTATCCAACCTATCCCGCTACCTATTGCATATGGGTATCTTTAGACTTACCAACTCATGAAGTTCGTGGTAAAATAGCTCCACAGTAATTTCCCGAAGATATTGCTTGCATGTTTTGTAAGGTAACACTGCAGCGAGTGTGGTTAATGCCAATCCTGCATTCTGCGAATGTAACATGAACCCACAGAATTCGCCTTGGTGTCATGCAGAGGCCGGGCCTGTGCGGGGCTCGCAGTTTTTTTCCGGTAATCTAGGTACGACCCTAACGTGGACAATAACGCCCGCCTGGCTCGCCTGGCCCGTAGCGAGCACCGGCAAGCAGTTCCACCAAGCAGGCCCTGTTGCCGTCATGACGTGCGACCGCCTGCCGTCGACAGGACCCATGCGCTGGTCTGGTGCCCCGTCTACAAGGCCGGCAGCACCAACTGGCTGAAGCTGCTCTGCCGGGCGCACAGCCTGGACCGGCCTTGGCGGCGAGGCCCGCGCCGGCCCTGCCCGATCGAGGTGCTCCGCAGACATCTCGGCACGATCGGACGTGGCTGGCAGGTGCGTGGCCCAGAGCGCTTGCGGTCGCAGATCGTCCCGTGCCTTCACCCCGGTGGTGCTGCTCATCACCGTTGCAAAGGAGGAGCAGAACTCGGTCCAACCAGGAGTGTCACTTCGCATGCCTCTGATTAGCCGGTTGCCGAACAGATTCAGATTTTAAAGGAAACGTTCCACAATTGAAGATACTGAAGCAAGCATCTGATATTATGTTTCAAGCCCACTTAGAGCCATTGGTATGCTCTTGAGCGGAAAAGACAACTCTAGACAAAATAATTTCTCCGCTGAGCAAATATGCTGCTCAATACGTCACTATTTAAGTGCGTCATGAAGCGTTTGTATCACGCTGGGGTGCTGCCGCACTAGCTGTGCGAAATTGCCAACCAAGCACTCCCTTGTAGCACTTTAAGCTCACCGAGAGACGGAAGTGGCTATGCTGGAAGTGTTCGCTGCGCCAAAAATTGTCATGTGCTCGTGTTTTGACCCTTTGTCGTAGTGCTCTTGCTTCATTATCCGTGAGTTTAATATGTTTTCCTGCATTCGAACACTCGGTTATGACACTATTCTTTAAGGGAGTGCTCCACATTCGTATAAGATTTTGACTGAAATAGCCATTTTGAGGATGATTCGGTGCAGGTAACAGTCCCGTCCTTCTTAAGTTGCTACGCAAATAACACTTGTAACCGACACACTTAAGAATAACGCCATAACCAAGTATGTGAGCACAAGTAAACATATTAAATGTACGCATAAATATGTAGAAACGCCATGAGAAAGGGCCAGCACGCGAGTGCATACGATATTTTTGGTTCAATGAACACTTTCAGCCCGTGCCGGAATTTTTCGACGTATTTGAAGCGCTAGGAGTAAGTAGCAATTTCGCACGACTGGTTCGGCGGTACCTCAGCATCATACAAGAGTTCCATGACGCGATCGAAGAATGGCGCACTAAGGAGCATGTTTTCAAAATAGAGGAATTTCGTTGCCTAGAGGAGTCGTTTCCAGTTTAAAGTATGCCAATAGTTATAATTGAGTTTATTTTATCATATCTGATGACTGCTTCAGCATCTTCTTATAAGAAACAGTTGCTTTAATTTCTTCGATTACAAATGTTATTTTCGTAAGAACTAGCAAGCGTGTTTTTTATATTATGCGGCACACAACGTCATTCGTGATGTAAATTTGCACTGCTAGTTCAACATTGAGTTCAACATCCTCCTGCTTTTTGAGCGCCGCTTGGCCTTTGAGATGGAAGGATTTGAGTGGTGCTGATGTGTGCGCCATGTGAGCCTGAATGTCCTTGAAATAGTCTGCACGAAAGTCTTTACATTCTCGCCGGTGCGTACCTGAAAAAGTGAAGTGTTTTTGGTCTGAAGAATGGCATGGCTGCCAACTGCCCCGAATGATTTGCAAAATTCTGTTTCGGTTTCAAATCCCTACCACTGTGGAAAATTCTCCCTTAAAGATTGCTCTGATGGTCGTGAATGAAACGATAGTCTTCGAAAGTACAACCTTACCACCGCAGGACCTCAGTACATCCTAACTACCTTAGGACCTGAGTTGTTTTAGGACAACGTCGTCCCTGAATCCGACGCATAGCAATCAACATTTTTCAGTTTTCAATAGCATAGGTTACATAATGTAAGAGCATTTACCAACCAAGAAAGTGTGCGATAGTATAGCTATGGCGTGCCAGATAGGACAAATAATTTGACAGAGGCATTTGCACCACCCTCTCTAAGCAGTTTCGGCTAAAGACGGTCGTGTGTTGTTCCGAGTGACTGTCGCAGGGCGTGCTAAACTGCAAAAGAGAATGTCCAACATGCGAGGAGAACCAGCATTTGAAGATTGTTTTTCATTATGGTGGCTCGTTCCAATGTGCAAGCTCCCTGTGCCTCCTGGCAGAGCCCCATATCACAGCTGGAGACCCCGCCAGTAACCGATCTACTGCAGCTGCCCGCAGCCGGCTGCGCCAGACGGTCACGCCTGCCCCCTCCGCAGGTGCCGCCGACTGTTCGTCACCGGTTCCTGGTGGTGCGCCACCCGCTCGAGCGACTGCTCAGCGCCTACCGTAACAAACTGGAGGGACCGGACCTTCACGCTTTCTACCGTGAAAAGGTAGCTCGCATGATCAGCCGGCACCGGGTGGGCCGGGTCGAGTCGGACCGCCGGGTGCATCCCGGACAGTCGCCGCCACCGCTTACGTTCGACGAGTTCCTGCGCAGCGTGGCGGCCAAGGACGTGCTGGACGAACACTGGAAGCCATACTATGCCCTCTGCACGCCATGCAACATCGAATACGACCTGGTGGGCAAGTTTGAGACGCTGGCCGAAGACCAGCGTTACATCTCGGAGGTAGTGGGGCTGGAAGAGCACGCGCACCTGCTGCTGTCAGACTCGGCCAACGTCCACGCCGCCGGTCCTACCGGCACCTACCTCCAGAAGTACTTCTCGCAAGTGACCAGAGATGAGCTTATGCGGGTCTACAGCGTGTTCAAGTTGGACTTTGTGATGTTTAATTACACCGTTGATGAGTATCTGAAGTATACCAAGCCCAATGCCCTCAATAGAATCTAACAGTGGCTTGGAAGGGGTGGGCGGGGTACAAGCTTATAAAACGAACAGCTGGCCATGCACGGGAGTGGCCCGTAACGCAAGGTCCGCTCCAGCCAAACTGGCGGTTTCTGATACAACTCTGGTACACGTTGGAATGTGTGAATGACAGCAGAACCTTCACAGATACTCTAATTGAAAGATCCTCTTTAATTGCATGAGCATTATGTTTGATTGTGTTCTGTTCGCATGGAAGAACGCTGGTACCTATGAGTGCGTCATAGCTCCTGTGAAAGAGCTGTTGTGTACGCGTTCCGCTAGTCGTTTTTTATGCGTGCGTTTGCGTTTTGCGTTTTTTGTGTATGCGTTCCGCTAGTCGTATTTACCGTACGTGTTTCATACAGAGCCCAACGTGTGCAGCGCGTGTTCTGGCTCCGCTGGCGGCACGCAGCTCCGCCCACCGGATGGGTCCGGTTCCCCAGCGCCGCCTGGTGGCAGCCGCACAACTTACGGTGCAGGGAATAGGTCGGCCAGGACCGAGCACGCTCGGTGTGGGGACCTACTCGTCAGTACCGGGCACGGCCGGTGTGGGGACCTACTCGTCAGTACCGGGCACGGCCGGTGTGGGGACCTACTCGTCAGTACCGGGCACGGCCGGCGTGGGGACCTACTCGTCAGTACCGGGCACGGCCGGCGTGGGGACCTACTCGTCAGTACCGGGCACGGCCGGTGTGGGGACCTACTCGTCAGTACCGGGCACGGCCGGCGTGGGGACCTACTCGTCAGTACCGGACACGGCCGGTGTGGGGACCTACTCGTCAGTACCGGACACGGCCGTTGTTGGGATCCGACTGGTCAAGACCGAACATAGCTGATCTGGAGACCGAGCTGACGAAGGCCTAACAGTCGAGTGGAGATGAGTTGGGTTAGGGCGGGGGGGGGGGGACAAGAGCGACCTACCACAAAACGCCGAGGCCGGAAAGTCTCTTTCAGTTCAAATGCACAGCGCTCATACAGGAGGCTCTCCATCAGGTGACTACCATTTCCAGCAGCGGTATATTATGTGAAGCAACCATTTAGCCATTAGCAATCATAGATACCTATGCCATCTAGGCGAACTATGTCTCCGCTGTGCTCGATAATCATGTCTGCTTGAATGTTGTAAGTGAATCCAACGTCCGGTTATAACAACAATGTTTGATTGAAATCAGAAGTGTCCAATTGCTCAATTAATGCGACGCGCGGAGAGCGAATGTGATATGGACGAGCAATGTTGCGTCACTGAAATTATGTGAATGGAACATCTAAACAATCAGCAGTTCATTTTTTAACTGGTATGTCACCTTTTCCCCACATTCCTCGGGTAAAGAGTCTATGCCAAGCAACCCTTGTTGACTGTCAAACTTGCACATTCATTAACGATGACATACATACAGCGCATGCCTAGTTTTTTGCTGAAAACCACATTGGATTATATTACACAATAGTAGGTGCTGCAATATTGGAAAAACGCAAAGTTGTATAAAATATCAAAGATCTCCAAAGCGTCATAGATCCACGTGTATGACTGGGCACCTAAAATATGCGTGATAACAGGGAGTGACAAAGTTAATTTAGCCGCATATCAGAGTTTCAAAGTGGTACAGCTGCTTTAGAAACCAGCGCGCTGAAATGGTATGCTTCAAGCCTTGTGTTTATTTTTGTCCTGCTGCTTACGTCGTTGTTTCGGCCGCCAAGGCCTCAGTGACCGTGGAGGACATGTGTGATGAGGACGTAACGATTTGCAATTCAGAGAGTCGGCAACAATTGTGGAGAATGCAATTTGGGCCATTTATACCGGTGTGGCGATCGAAACATAACACACCATGGGGATCATAATTGTGGTAAGACGTGCATTTTATATGAAAGGTTGCTGCCACACATACCGCACTTCTCAAATCCCTACCACCAGTGACATCGGAGGGAAGGGGGGGGGGGGAAGGGCAGATGTCTCCAGTTTCTATTGTTGGAAGACGAATTGCGTTTCCAAAATGTCACTACATGGGCGGGAGTCACGCCGTGATGAACAAGGCTAGTTTGCTCTCGGAATTTTTGTAATGTTTATGGAATATGTCATGAACTTGCACACCATTTTTTAACTAGAGCTCTTACAATTATCACAATACATTAAACTTTGACTGATACTTCCATTGCCCAGACATTTAGGATTTCCATTAGGAATCAATTACACACACACACACATATATATATATATATATATATATATATATATATCTCTCTCTCTCTCTCTCTCTCTCTCTCTCTCTCTCTCTCTCTCTCTCTCTCTCTCTCTCTCTCTCTCTCTCTCTCTCTCTCTCTCTCTCTCTCTCTCTCTCTCTTTATCTATCTATCTATCTATCTATCTATCTATCTATCTATCTATCTATCTGTCTATCAATAAATAGGCATTCAGTTAGGAATCTGGAAATGTGAAGTGCCGCTATTGGTTTGCTCCTATTCGTTTGACCCAAACATGCACTTTCCTTTTCACTGAGCCTATAATGTGCATGGGAATTGAGGAGCACGACAACGAATACAGGATTCAGATTTGTGGTTTGCTTGACTTCTGTCCCAGTTATTTGCTGTGGCATGCCTATGTTAAGCCAGCTTTAAAAAAATGAAGCTCATTAATTGGTAGCAATTGATTCTTCCAACCAGCTAGAATGCTGCGAACTAACTCATGGTATGTTGAACTTCGTCACCAGTCCGAATGCATGTTTGAAAATTCTTCAAGGGAGGCAAATATATCTGCTGACGTGTACTGCATTTGGCTGTGTGTGGGGACCAAAGCAAAAACTTCAATTTGGTTTGCAGCAGATTTGTGTTAATGCTAAGCTGTGCGAGACGGGATTACGTTGATTAAAAACTGGGTTAGCGGGTTAACTGCATCCTGGGATGCCAGGTTGAACCGGCCCGGATCCAAAAGTTTAATGTAGAAGCCTGTGTTTTCGCTCTATAACCGAGCAATGTTTGTCGCGTACAAGTTCATGCGTTAGAACTTCTTCCAGCATAAGTGATGTCGCCTAGTAGTTACTGCGTTAGATGGTCAGTCGCGTGAAACTCATTTCGCGTAAAAGCTTTGTGTTTAAAGTTTAGTGGAGAAGGACTTAATAGTAATCAAATTCGATCGATAACGCACATTTACCTTTGCATGTCCAATTCTATTTACTGGTCGATTAGAGTGAGGCTTGGTACACACGTATATATATATATATATATATATATATATATATATATATATATATATATATATATTCTCTATGTTGCTAAAGGAACAGTGTGTGTGTGTGTGTGTGTGTGTGTGTGTGTGTGTGCGTGTGTGTGTGTGTGTGTGTGTGTGTGTGTGTGTGTGTGTGTGTGTGTGTGTGTGTGTGTGTGTGTGTGTGTGTGTGTGTGTGTGTGTGCGCCTGTTGGTTCACCTGCAGGCCAAACGGTCAGAAATTTTTGCATGAAATTTGCACGCGGCCGAGATCCGCCGGCTGCGCTTGACATAGCCGCGTCAAAATTCTGCATTTCGCAAAAATTCCCACGTGCCGAGCGAAAAAAACGCAAAAATCCCATAGGGTTAACACCAGCGACGCCAATTTCGCGATTCCGGCCGACGGTCCGACACGTCTCGCTTCCCGGAGTCGTATCTCGGTAACCAACGGTCCCAGCGACGTGCAACTTGCGCGGTGCGGTAGAGCACGGAATGGGCCATCGCAATCGGGTGAGTTTTTGGCGCCACATCACACGTGGCACGTGCACGTGTTGTTTTTCGCGATCACGTTTAGCGCACTCAGTAAGTGTTCCGATTGGATCGACAGGATTGTAAAGGCTGGTGGTAATGTTATATATTGTGAATTGTCCGTGGACCCGCAGTCGCGTGCTAAGTCAGTCCAAAAAGTAAGCGACCCAGGGCAGAACCATAATATATGAGGTTTGTCCTCGTTATGGCTCTGGCAGCGCAGACACTGATTCGTATCCTTGATCCGATAGAGGTGTAACATGCGGTTCTTCGGTAGGATCCTGTGAATGATGTTAAGTGCAACCACCTTAGTTTGAAGTCATCTGTTGTGCCGTACAGGTCTTTGTACATTTTTGTCCATTATTCTTGCCCCATAGGTCCAAGCCTAAGTTCCCATTTCGTCTGAGCCTTGTCCGGCAGGGAAACATGACCCGAAGACAGGAGCGCACTATATCCCCACTTCGCTGTTCCCACGCACTTGCTAATCTGTTCATAAGCGTATGGAAAGACTATATTGGTGGGCTTTTCCTGGGCGAGCATTTCCTTCCAATAGCGGGGTATAAGCATGCAGTATAGACTGCCATGTGAGAAAATGCCCATATCCGAATTGCATTTGCAACTGGTCTGCGTCAAGGAGCTTTCGGTTCTGGTGGTTGTAAAGGTCTTTTGTTTGAACGACTGAACGGCGGATCAGTTCGTGCTTATCCAATGATACATTTTGTTCCAGGTCAGTACCAGTGCTCTTCCATGTGACTTTGGCCAGTATGATTGCTCCTGAGAGTTTGCGCTGTAGCGAGTGTACGATTTGCATCCAAGCAATTAATGCTTCTGACTAAAACTTGCATCCATCTAGAAGACTCAACATTTTTAGGATTGGTATCGCAGCGCAAGAATGATATTACGGCATTTATTTTTAGTTTGTGCTGCAATATTTTCTTTCATTCTGCGTTGTACTCTGGATTAAATGCTTCGTTATCTAGGCTATTTTAAGACTGTCTGCCTGTACTGATGGATCGGGCACCCGTAGTCCTCCCTCGAAAAGAGGGGTTTTCATCACCGACCGTTTAATCCTATCTCGAGATTGGGTTTAAACGAACTAGTATAACATTGTTTTATCTTCTTTAAGGACGCGTAATTCGACTTTTCTAAGACAGTCGTTAGATATGCAAGTTGCAAAAAAGCTTCTGACTTTATGACACGTACCTTCCCGCATGCAGTCATGCCACGCCTAATCCATGGGTTAAGTTTGGCTTTCAATCTTTCCATTTTTTCCGGATGGTTAATGTTTCCCAGGTCTTCGCACGTCGGGGTAAGTTTTGCTCCAATGTTATCTATTGAGTTACGCTCCCACGATATTTCAATCTCTACACAGATAGCATCTACTCGGTTTCGGTGCTGACCTATCCAGACCCCTCGCGTCTTTTGGCTGTTCAGGGATAGGCCCGACTTATCTCGATAAGTATCCAGACATTGAAAACATGCCCGAAAGGATCGATCGGAACCATCCATAATGATAGCTGCATCATCGGCATAGGCTGAAATATTTATTTCTGCGTCACCGGTGCCAATCCCGTTTAAGTCGTTACAGCACCTTATTTTATCCACCAAATGCTCAATTGAAATCAGGAATAGTAGGCAGTTGAGCAAACA